AGACCACCGCTGTGTTGTCGGTGCGCACCAACACATGGTGACCTCGAAACATGGCCAGCATCTCCAGACAATTGATATGCCACGTCAGATGGCGACCACTCCACAGATCGCGGGCAGGGTGGCCACTCATGACCGCACCCCAACTGGTGAGGGATGCATCCGTCGCTAGCATACGCGGCGACAAGGAGCTCCCAGCACCGGGCCCTGAGACGAGAACCAAGGTTTCCTCCACATGTCTAAGGCACGTAGGCACCTCCGCGTGACCTTGAGCATGCGAAGCGGGTTTCCCCTCGGGGAGAACCCCTTGGTCTTGAGCCACCACTGTAGGGGTCTCATGTACAGCAGACCAAGAGTTATCACGTTGGACACAGCTGCCATCAGACCCAGCAGTCTGGAACTGCTTGACACTGGGTGACCGGCCTTCTCTTACTCTCGCGACTGTGGTGAGGATCGACTCGATCCGAGCAGGAGATATACGTGCCTGCATCGTGTTCAAATCCAACACCATGCCCAGATAAGTGGTTCTCTGTACTGGAGAAAGCACACTTTTCTTGGCGGTAAGTCTTAACCCCAGCTCTTTCATGTGAGCGTGAACGACATCTCGATGTTGAACCGCCATCCGCTCAGACTGAGCTAATATCAACCAATCGTCGATGTGGTTGAGTCGTGAAAGTGTGGGGTGAGAGTGCAAGGCCTAAGGAAGAACCAGTATAGGTAGGCTTTTGCCCCCAAAACGTGGCTTTTTGCAGGGAGGAACACATAACCTACAACGTGGCTTGCTCTCGCCCTTGAAATGCTTTGTCTTTGCATGAGCTTAGACATAGCTGGAGCTTATAGACTTTCACAATAGACAGACAACAATAAATATGACTGACACACACACAGAGCGCTTCGCTGAATGACAGAATGCTGACGCTGGCTCCGCCGCACGTGCTTTTATAGCTTCCTGGTCATGACGTCACCCGCCCGTGATGTCCCGCTCAGCTATTGGACTGATTTCACATGTTATTCAGAGCGTGGTCACAGAAGGCGTTCCCCTAGCATTTTTCCGACGCAGCTCGAGTTCCTGAAGAGGAATCACAATTGTTGTGAGCTATAAAGTCACATTGGGAGATGTAAAGTTGCATTTATGAGAAACAAAGTCACAAATGTGAGATATAAAGTCACACTGTGAGGTATAAATTCACATTTGGG